GAGAACATCACATTTTGACCAAAGTGCAGCGAGCCTTTAGATCACTAATTGTATTGTTCTCTGTTACAACCAACATGGCCTAGTTAGCTTAACTTCAACCAGACAATCATCTTTTTACACTTTAGATTTAGCAAATCGGCAGGCAGAGAGAACAATAACCAATGGATTGAAACAAATTTACCACGTAATAATTGCTGACAGTAAAGTACAAATTAATTTGAGAGATTTCTCGTGGAATATACTGAGTCTGTTTCCTTGCTGCCTAGCACCTGGAGATAGATTCTTGGGTCCAACAGAGCTCTGGTTAGGCAGGACCTAAGGCAGGGAGAGCATAGGCAGACAGCCTGGTCTAGTGGATAGAGTTCTGAGTCAGGAGACACACGTTCTATTGCTGGCTTTGGCAATGACCTGCTCTGTGACTTTGGGTGAACTACTTCACTTTTCTGTGTTTACTTTCCCTCTCTTTGTCTGTGTTAGACTATAAGCTCTTTAGGGCAGGGACAGTCTCTTACTCTGTGTATGTTGAGTGCCTACAATCCTTATTGTGATGCCTAAGCACTACTGTAATAAAAAGAATAAATCTTAATAAGAATAATTGTAATAGTAATGAAAATTATAACAATGGTGACTATTTGTATTATGATAATGACAAAGACAGAACAATGGCCCCTGCCTTAAAGAACCAACAATCTAATTATATGGTGAGAGACAACAGGTGGGTACAACAAACGGGCCTGGGCAGCACAAAGAAATAACGAGACAATTATAAACTGCACAACAAACAGTGAGAGTTGGATCAGGCCCTAAATAATATTAAAATCTGGGAAAGCTATTTCAAAAATATTGCATTTTGCTAGAAGTTCATTGATCAGGACATGCAAGTGAATGAGAACAGATACAAGGATGGATTTAAGCAGCAGGCCACAACTTTATTAAACTTAGCACCCCTCCCTGGTGTTATCTGCCCCCTTTACCCTTACCAGGTATTTAGTAATTCAGTGCAGGGTTTACAGGGCCTCTCAGAAATAGTCCATATCTCAGGGTAGACTCTCCACTGCCTACTCCTAAGATTCAGTACATTCTGCTGAATCCCCTTCCCTCGTCCCACTGTGAAGGGGGCAGAAGGCACCAGAGAGGGACGATGTTCTGTGAAGACTTCAGGTCTCCCCTTTTCCCACAGGCCCAAGTTCCAGCAGTGAAATCCTAGGTCTCCTTTATTTCTGGGAGCTGACCCTTTGCCCTTTCATCCGCACTGTGCACTAGCTACAAGTTGTGATGAACTAAACATTCATATAAATTCCTAGTTTTTAGATTTGAAAGTCCTATTCCTGTTTAATCATGAGGCTATGAAGAAAGAAAAACCAAAACAAAACTACAAAGGTATCAGCCAAATTGGCCCCAATGGGATAAATTCCTTTCTGACCTCTAAAGTACTCAATTTGTCTGACCCAAAGCATCCTAAACCACAGTTCCTATACGAAAACTAAGGGGAGGAAGGGTGAGACAAAAAATCCCAGGCAAGGGTTTAAATTAATGATCGCGGGAAGCAAGAGACAATTAGCGCCCAACTCCCTCTGGCTGGCCAATGGGCATCAGAGTGCCCATGGGAAGGAGGAGCCTACACCTGTGTACACTCCCTCTCTAATTCTGAAGCTGTCTGGCCCCCTGTAGGTCTAATCAAGTTTACATTTAAAAAGTTAGCAGCACTGAAAGTAGCTGAAGTCAGTGAGTTTAATATGTTGCTATTCAATAATTACAGCATTTATAAGTATATGGGGAGGGTCTAAAATAATACAAGAGTCCAAATGGTGATATTAAAATACCTAGTTCAAGTTGAAGTAATAAATAAAATCTAGTTTTCTTCACTCAGTGTGCTTGCAGTTTGGAAACCTAGTTCATGAATTCAGCAAACAATTTTGTACTGTTTGTACTTGGAATAATTAAGAGTTTCCCAATCCCACACTGAATAGGAAACTGCCATTTCATCCTAGAAATGCTTTTCATTCTCAAGAGCTGAACTCATTTGTATTGTATTGTGGCCTTCTTCAGTTATTTATGAGCTCAAGCGTGATGATTTGAGTTTTTGCAGTATCGTGAATTCCATAACTTCCAGAAGTTCAAATATGCAGTAAGATTCATTTCTCATAGTTTTTAAGGTTTGTACTCACTAAAGTCTTAATGCAATGCACCATATTCTTTTACATATAAAGAAAATAGTTTAGGTTATTAAATTGCACATACCTTTAACTTGAAAATACAGAAGCATTTTAAGAACTTAAGAACACACCTGCTTTAGCAGACTATCCAAACAGACCAACAACCCCCTCAGTCCAGTATCCTGTCTCTTCCAAAGGCCAGGGGTCTGATGTTTAAGAGGAAGGTATAAGACACATTCATAGGGCCAAATTAAGTCAATAGCAAATCTTCCATTAACTTCTATGGGACCCATTGACCTACTGAATTGGCCTAAAGGCACCGAATTGTGTAATATTATATAAGATAAGGCATATTTCTTATGGACTTCAGTTAATGATCATTTTATGCCCTGAACTATGAAGATTGACAGCTCTGCTATTTTATACTAATTAATGTAACTGGAGGTGCTACTTTTATTCATATAGAACTGAAGCCTGCAGCTACTGAGCTCTTAAGCATTTAAGTATGTGCTTAGTGGATACGGTCAGAGTGCTCAGAGGCTTACATGATCAAGCCCATCATGTAAAATGCCTACAACATTTTTACTCTTTCTAAGCTGTTTTCACCAATAACATCCTGCCTTAGAAGGTTCCACGGGTCAACCAAATATTCATTTTATTAGATATAATTTGTCATCTGATTTTCAATCATTGTGTTCTTTGTATAATAGGTAAAGAAAATAGGACCTGCTGATTGGTCTTTTCTATATTATTCATTATTATTATTATTCCCTAAGAAGCCTCTATTAAGAAGAACATTAAAAATGAACTTTGAACATTGCAACACTTTTTATCTTGTATATCTATTATTTTGTTAACATCTTGAAAGAATTTAAACAGTATGGTGCCCTATTTGAAATTAGCTGGATTGCAATTTAGTTTCTAATGGATTGCAACAATCCAGCAGCACAACTGGCAGTACTAATAATACTTGACATTTATCATCCATAAGGCACTACACAAATGTTAATCAAATAACCTTCACAACATCCCTGTGAGAGTGGTAAATATTATCAGCTCCATTTTATACATGAAGAAACTGAGACATCAATATGTTAAGGCCAACATTTTCAAATTTGGTTGCAGAGCTGTAGACCCCCAAATCCATATTTAGGCAACTAAGCAAAAGTGACCTTCTATCATACTCAGTCTACTCAAAGAGCTGCAAGAAGCTTTCCTGGGATCTACGAATCTCAAGTCATTTTCACCATATACAGATAAACCCTGTTTACACAATGGCCTCAGGGACATCTACAAATGTAAAAATGCTGGAGGGCATGGGAGAGAAACAAATTTGGGGTAGCACATAAATTTAGATATTTAGAGCTACCTGTACATAGAAATCACTTGATCCCATGCCAAATAATGGTACATTTTACATTGAGTGCCCTCCCGACCATCTTGACCAAACCGTGATTGGATTACCATCTTCACTGTTCTCCCCGACACCATCGAGGCTCCAACTTCACTATGAAAAAAACAAGCTATTTTTTTTGTTTTTGTTTTTGTGTTTTAACTCACATTTCTTTTAACAACCCACCTCTATTCTTCCATTGGGCATTAGTTAAGCTACTGAATTTATTCAGTCCCTAACATCATCTCATGCCAAAATCTCCTTAACACGGACTCACTGGGTGAAATTGTGGCCTCACCAAAGTCAAGGGGATTTTTGCCATTACCTTTGAGAGAGCCATGACATCACCCATTGTTTCTCTCTCACTCAGATGCTGGTAAAATATAGTTGCTATTTAAAGCTTCACTTTAGCCCAATAAATAAATGAGGTTATGTGAAAACTCAGACTAGTTTGCCTCAAAGATTCATGCTGTCTGACATCTTTCATTGGATTCAAACAATCAGAAAACACTCGTTTGCTAGAGTATTTTTTGTTTTTTTACATAGTAATGCTTTAGTAGTTAATGAATAAAATATTGCACTACTGTGCAGCATATGATGTTATACAAACTAGATTGGTTCACAACATGTGAAGGATCAGAGGGGTAGCCGTGTTAGTCTGAATCTGTAAAAAGCAACAGAGGGTCCTGTGGCACCTTTAAGACTAACAGAAGTATTGGGAGCATAAGCTTTCGTGGATAAGAACCTCACTTCTTCAAATGCAAGTCATTGCATTTGAAGAAGTGAGGTTCTTACCCACGA